TCTGGCCTGTAGTGTTTCTTGTGACATGTCAGCTGAGAGCCTTATGGGGTTTCCTGTTTAGGTAACCTGTTGCTTCTCTTTTGCTGCTTTTAGGATTCTCTCTTTGTCTTTAATTTTTGGCATTTTTATTATTATGTGTCTTGGTGTGGGCCTGTTGGTTCTTCTTACTTGAGGCTCTCTGTGCTTCTTGAACTTGAATGCCTTATTCCTTCACCAAATTAGGAAAGTTTTCTGTCACTATTTCTTCAAATATATTCTCTAACCCTTGCTCATTTTCTTCTTCTTTGGGGAATCCTATGATGTGAATGTTATTACGTTTCCAGTTGTCCCACAGTTCTCTTAAGCTGTCTTCCTGTTTTTTAATTGTTTTTTCTTTTTGGTTTTCTGATTGGTTGATTTTTTTCTACCCTGTCTTCTAATTCACTGATCCGGTCCTCAGCTTCCTCTACTCTGTTAGTCCTTCCAATGTGTTCTGAATTTCTGCTATGTCATTCTTCATTTCCACTTCATTTGTTTTTAGTGTTTCCATATCTTTACTCATGGTACTGATGTTCTTACTCATGCTGTTGAGCTTTCTCAAGATCATGGCTCTGCAATCTACCTCTGATAATTTGCTTAACTGCATTTTATTTATCTCATCTTTGATAGAGTTCTCTTGTTCTTTCATTTGGGATTTGTTTCTTTGTTTAACCATTTTGGCTATTTCAGGGGGTTTTGGAGCCTGCCAAATTTTCCTTGTGGGTGTTTGTGTTCTGCTGTTTGAGGCTTTCTCTACTGGGTTTGGATGAGCCTGAGTGGGCCCATATTAAACACCACTGTCAAGTCTTTCTTTCCTGGGTAATTTTGCAAGTCCAAGAAAGGTTCAGTTGTCCTCTAGCTTTTTCCTCGTGACTAGTAGTCTCAGTGACTCAGTGCCTTGGAATGTAGTCCTGATATTCTGCATAAGATGATTTCTAGAGGGTGGGATACATGCTGGTTGTTAATGAACCTCCATTTGCATTTCTTTGCCTCACCTTGGAAAGGCTGAATCTCCAAGGCACTGGGGAGCTGCTGCTTTTTCCCACAGCTCTGGGAATGAGCCACTGGTTTTTGTGGTTGCAACTCAGCAAAAACTCTGAGTGCCCTCCACATCCCGGGTGTTCCCACAGAGTTCAGCCCAGTCTTCCCTCCCTCTGCCGTGGCTCCCAGGTTATTGGCTGTGGCTATTTTAGTGCTCTGTCCCAGCTCTCTGCGCTGTGGAGTGGGCTTTATCTTAATTCCCCAAAGGCATTACTCACAGCTAAGACTGCTGCTGTCCATGGGCTCCCAGCCTGCCACCCTCTCATATCTCAGCAGATCCTATCAGTGTACCTGGTTATATAGTCCTGTCCTGCTGCTTTTCTGTTACTTTTTTCTGAGGATTTGTCTTTATTTTTGTATAATACCCCTATGGTTCTGGGAGATCATCTGTGTAGCTTCCATTCAGTCTGCTGCCATTTTCACATCCTTTTCTCTTATTCTTGATGAAGCAAAGCCTGTATCTTATCAGGTGCCATTCTTAAAAGGGTATGGCTCTTGTAAGAATTGTTCACATGTGGAGAAACAAGTTTACTGGGTTTAGGAGAAGGAATTATCACATAAAGTTGTTCTTCAATGTCTTCATACCATTGTGTTTGAAACTTTATTTTCAGGATTCATGAGGACTGAGTTTGTGATGTGTATGTAGGGCTCTGTTTTGGTGTACTAATATGTCACAGTATCAGAGGATATTCCAGCTATGGCACTGAATATATACTAGGGCATATTATTAATTAAATAAAGACTTTCTAAGAAACTTCTCTGGTACAGGAACTTTGTTTGAACTCCAGTGTATGAAGTTACATAGAGCAAATTTTTAATCATTGAGGAACTCATATGCTCTTTAGACAAATATAAAAGCAATTTATACTGTTTAATGTTGAAGGAATATTGTCTTCTATATAGAGGAAATTATAAGGAAATGAGATACAAATAAATATAGGGAGGCAACCAATCGATGTTTCTTTCTCACATCAGTGTTTCTATCTCCCTCTCCCTTTCTCTCTTTCTAAAATCAATAAAAACAACAAACAAACAAACAAAATAAAATAAATAAAAACATATCCTCAGGTGATGATTGAAAAAAAAAGAAGGAAAAACAAGTTAATTGGACAAAAATATTTACTCTAAAAATGACTATGATACAAAATGAAGTCTCTCTCATTTGTGTCTGCTTAACTACAGAGAAAAGGAAATCGAGGAATTAGAATGAATTATGACTTCTTTGCATTAAAATAATGAGAAGGCAGAGTATAAAATATTAGAAGACAAGGTGAAAAGATTAAAGTGTCAAAAGTCTGTTGATTAGTTTTTTGCATGCCCAAAAGACCCAAAGTCTTGCTGTGACAATACTGGTGCTAAAGATGAGCCATATATCCAGGAAAATGCTATTTTTAATTAGCTTTTATTAGTGAATAACAAATAACAGTAATATTACAGTAAGCAATAGTTATTCATGTTATGAGATTAAGTTAAAATCTTTAGCAGATTTCTCAATTTTATACATCAGTATTTAAAATTGCTGGTGTTCTGGCAATGAATACATAGCTATCGACAATTGAATCTACAAACAAAATGAACAAGCAGAACAGAAACATTCTCATAGATACAGAGAACATTTTGTTGGTTGCCAGATGGAAGGGGAGCTGGGGGAATGGGTGAAAGAGGCGAAGGGGTTAAGAAGTACAAATTGGTTGCTAGACTGATAAACCTCAAGTGGAAAGGGGGTTGGGGGTGGGAAGAAACAAACCAAAGAATTTACATGCATATATGCATAACCAATGGACACAGAGAACAGTGTGGGGAAAGGCAGGAGGGGAGCGGGAGAGGGGAGGAGGGTGTCAATAGGGGAAAAATGTGGAACATCTGTAATACCTTCAACAATAAAGATAAGTTAAAAATATAAAATTGCTGATTTTCACTTTTTAAAAAAAGTTGGAGAAGACAAAAGATATACAGAATGCTTTAGAATCTATCATTCAAAAAGAAACACAAATAGAAATTCTGGCCCTTTGAATTATGGAGCAACTACCCAGATATTGTTAAAATGAAGAATTTGTTGGTAATTCTAACATTACTAGGGATTAGGGACTTGTCTCCTATCACTATTAAGTGCATCTGACAGATACCTTAAAAGGACATTCCAACTGAGACTGAAGAAAATATTTCAGTATGGCCCTAGGGCATGGCAGTGGCCCTGCACACTAAACAATGGGACCAATTTTTTCTTTGTCTATTATGTGTTCAACACCTGACGTGTGCCAGGTATATCAGGATCTAGGAATTGAGGATAGGGTCCTGAGCAAAAAAGACAAGATGCTTGCAATCCAGGTACCTTTTAAGGGAACTCAATTGAAGGGAAATTTAATTATTAAATAGGTAAATAAATGAAGAACAAAAGAAAAAGAGATGGCACAATATGTTAGAGTGATCTGAAATAGGAGAGGAAGGCCATTTTGGTTGCAATTATTGGGAAGGTACTCCACGTAGAGGCTATTTTTGAATTGAGATTACAAATGCTGGAAATTCAATCATTTGAACATATAGGGTAAAACTTTTCAATCATATGGAGCAGTAAGTAAGAGGCCTAAGTTGAGAGTAAACAGAAGTCCAAGAAATAGTGGCCATTCCTGCAGCATGTGGGAAACAGCCACGGGGAAACGAAGATAGAAGTCCAGGGCTGTGGCCACTGGGGCGATCTAACTGCCGGTAGTGGAACCTCTGGTTCCAAACAGGCAAAGAATTGGCTAACATCCTAGAACTGGCAGAAGACTGGAGGCTAATGTAGAATAATAGAATGGGAACTCAGGTCAGAACCAAAGCAGGGACATAACCCTACAAACTAGAGACATATAATAGAAGAGGCTGGGTTTAAAGGATAAACCCTACCATCATAATGTTACCAGAGAGGGAATGATACAACACAGCGATGTTATAGCTTGGGTAGGTTTAATTGGAATGATGCTCAACACTGAAGCATTCTCTTCAAATATTGATTGAATGCATAACTGCATCCACATTACTCCTAGGCTGAATGCCACTGGAGGCAGATCTGAGCCAAATTGTAGAAGATCATTGAATATGGCTGGGGTAGCTGTAAATAAAGGAGAGCTAAATCAATCACCCTTCTCGACATACTTTACCAAAAATTCAAAGATCTGGAATAAAACAGAGTGGGATGGGGTAGGGCAAATTCAGCCTAGTCATTTAAGGGTTTTAAGTTTTCTTTCTATCGACTAAATATTTAATAACACCTTGATGTATTCATCTCTTTATTTTTTATTGAGATATAATTGACATATAAAGTTATATTAGTTTCAAATGTGCAATATAATGATTAGGTAATTGTATATATTGTGAAATGTTCCTACAATAACACTAGTGAACATCCATCATCATACATGGTTTCAACTGTTTTTCTTATGATGAGAACTTTTAACAACTACCAAATATTGAATATATTATTATTATATATAGTCACCACGCTGTACATTACATCCCCATGTCTTATATTTTTAACAATTTGTACCTTTTGACCTCCTTTACCCTTTTCCCCACCTCCCACCCCTTGCCTTTGGCAACCATCAATCTGATCTGTTCTTCGTTTCTGTGAGCTCAATTTTTGTTTTATTTTGCTTTTTAAATTCCACATGTAAGTGAGATAATACAATATTTGTATTTCTCAGACTTAATTTACTTAACAAAGTGCCCACAAGCTCCACTGATATTGTTGCAAATGGCATGATTTTCTTTTTTTTTATATGGCTGAAGGGTATTCCATTGGGGCAGCGAGGTTAAATATTGTGATAGTGGGTGAGAAAGGTTTATGTTCAAGATGAGGGGAGCAGCATAGATGTCTTATTGTGTTTCTTGTGGCCTTCAGATGAAACCATAACCAATACATGCCCAGATTTCCATAATCCCTGATCTTTGATCCCCACCTCTCAATTGTGGTACTTGAGTAGTCTGATAATTCCTTGCTTGATTTCTTGTGTTCGTACTCCATAAACAATGGGATTCAGGGCTGGTGGGATAAGGTGATGCAAGACATTGAGAAGAATGGGTACCTCTGAGGGCACCTTCTTTCCTGCCTTGTTTGTGAAGATGAAGACCAGCAGCAATGTGTAGAAGAATAGTATAAGAATGAGATGGGACCCACAAGTGCTCAAGGCCTTGGTGGCTGCACCCGCTGAATGCAGACGCATTGCAGCCCTCAGGATGAAGCAGTAGGACAGCAAGATCAGTACCAGATCAGAACCCAGTAGGCACCAAACACTCACAAACTGGTAGAGCTTATTTATGTAAATATCCCCACAGGAGAGCTTTGCCACAGAAATGTTGGCACAGATGCAGTTCTCCACCACATTGCTGGCACAGTAGTTGAGCCTGGCAGCCAGAACTGGTGTGGGCAGTGTCACCAGAAAACTTCGCAAGACAATGAAAATGGCTGCATTAATGACAAACTGTTCCGTGATGAGGGATGGGTAGCGCAGTGGGTGGCAGATGGCCACATAGCGGTCATAGGCCATGACCAGAAAGGTAGAGGACTCCATAGGAAGAAACGTATTCATGATGAACATCTGTAGGAAGCATCCAGCGAAGGTGATAGGCTTCATGTTGAACCATAAGATGAACAGGACCTGCCAGAATCATTATTCTCAAAACCTGTGCATCCATTCCCCCCTAGGGTACCGAACTGTGGAAAACCCTCAGATGGCTTCAACCATTCATATCCTCAAACCATAGCCCCATAATCACAACTGGGACAGTGTTCTGTTTTCAAGTTCCTTCTTTGTGCATCTTAATCCCCAGAGCCTGATTTATACTCCTTTCTCTCCATCAATAGAGCACAATTTTTGTTTAAGAGCTAGTCTGTTGTTTATGTAAAGCCTGTCTTCTCTTGATCTTTAAAGTTTTTACTCAAAATCCAGCTGACACATCTGCCCATCTAAATGTATCACAAAACATTAAGACCCGTTATCCAATATTTATATTTAAATACCCCCAATATCTCCATACTCATAAGAAACCTTTTCTAAGTATGTTTCTTATCCCAGTATACCACATAAACATACATCCAGTTACATTTTAGAAAGTAAATTCTAGAGGCCTTAGACGTAAGGGTGAGGCCATTCATAGTCAAGGAGAATCACCCTCCAAGTAAAAGAAAGGGCTTTGAGACAGGGGCCATCACTTGGGAAAGAATAAAACCTTAGAGAAACATAGGCAGTAAGAATGAGGGGGAGCATATCTTAGCTTTGATAGACCTAATATGATGGTGCTGGTGACTCATTGAATATTTTCTTTCAGGTGTAGGAGGATTTACAGCAGCAAAAAGAAAGAAAGAAACGAAGGAAGGAAGGAAGGAAGGAAGGAAGGAAGGAAGGAAGGAAGGAAGGAAGGAAGGAAGGAAGGAAAGAAGGAAGGGAGAGAAATATGATTGGTTGAGAGTAAATTCAGGGAGGCACTGACCTTGGGGATGACTGTGAGGCAGAGAATGACATCCAACAAGGAGAGGATGGCAAGCAGGTAGTACATGGGCTCATGTAGAGACGCTTCCTGCCAGATGACGAGTAATAACACAAAGTTGGCCCCCAGGGCCAAAACCAGGAGGGGAGCCAGGGCCACAGATAGCCAGTGCTGTGTGTCCTGCATTCCTGGAAAGCAGATCATCAGGAACTCAGTCACCTGGGTCCCTGTGTTGTTGAGAGATACTACCATGACTGGCCGGTGGGCCCGGAACTGCTGAAAGAAAATACATGAATTTGGCTTTTGACTGTTTCATTTAAGACCTCTTAACTAATCTAGCTGCCTCGGTTCTAGGGTGTAAAGTTTCTCTACAATTCTATAGGCATAAAATGTGTCTAAAATGTAAATTGCACCACATCATTCCTCATTAAAACAATTTCCTTAGTATTCATAACTTTATGAATAAAGAATAACTTCCTTCACATGAGTATATTTTAACTGCAAAAACATAGACCCAGCCACTTATAGAACATGCTCCACTGAGTCCCGTTTCTGTGCTTTGCCTCATATCCTTCTCGTAAAATCAACTCTCTCTCCTCAAATAGCTGAGTTCTTCTTGTCCCAGTCAATCTGTACCAAGAGTCGCATCTCTTACACGTTTTTTTCTTCTTACTTTTTTTATGTACATAGACGCCTTTTCTTTCCACTGTTTCTCTATGATCCTTAAATATCTTGATCATGCTGTTATCTAAGCATTAATAAAACTTTTCTGTACTCTGATGTTTCCCAAATGTTTTCAAAAAAGTCTGTGCTCCATCTACCAGCAATATAATCTTATCTTTATATTAGAGCACAGGGGAAAACACATTGCACTTGGTGACATGATAGGCACTCAGTAAGTACAGTTCAGATACATGGAATGACAGGTTGCCGAAAGTATCATTAGCTCTTGACTAATTTAATTTGGCATCTCCATATCTTGCTCTACTATAAACTTTCAGCATTCATGATTAACACTCAGGAAAAAGCCGAACAAAGAATTGGATAAAAATCAACTTAGTGATGAGGAAAAAAATGTAACCTTGTGACAGAACAATGAATACAAAAAATACCTGTACAGTGTCTGATTTGCATTTGTATATGTATTTGATAAGTAACTGCTTAAAAAAAGAAAAAAACCCTGCATGTCCCCGGAAAAGGAGGAAAACTCAGGAAGTGAGAGTCCTAAGACACGGGAAAAGCTGGAAGAATACTTGAACATGCCCCAGGATGTGATGCTCCACAGACATCCACTTCAGTTCTCTGGGCGTCTCTTTTCAACCGTCCAGCATCCTGGTGGTGAAGAAGTTGCCCGGCTCTGCTGTGCTCCTCTCTGAAGCAGAGGGAAGATCACCTCTTACAGATGGATGTTTTGGACACCTGGTTGGGGCTCCCCAGGACGCAAAAAAAATGTCCCAGTCAAGGTTTAAAGTTGTTTTATTTTCTTTACTCAAATACATAGAATGGGCTTCTCATCAGGATTTTTCTCCATCTAGACCAGGGAGCGGTTCTGAAATGTGAATATACATCAAAGTGACACTGCACAGGTATCTTTTGTATTTATTGTTCTATCACAAGGTTACATTTTTTTTCTTATCACTATATTATTTTTTATCCAGTTCTTTGTTCAGCTTTTTACTGAGTGTTAATCAAGGATGCTGAAGGTTTATATGCATACTCACTGAAATTCTAGTAGAAACACAGATTGCTGAACACAACCCCCAGTTACCAATTTTGTACATCTGAGGAGGAGCCCCCAAATCTGCCTTTCTAAGCCATTCCCAGTCATGTTGATTTGCTTTCCAGGAATACTACTTTGAGAATGACAGAGCTACACCCAACCATGATAAGTGACCTAGGCACTGATTTAGACCTATGCCAATTTAAGACTGCTGCCACATTTTAGCCAGATCTAGCCAGAGCTCTGCTCAGCTTCAGCCATCAAACTGGTGGCTTCTGCCATAATCTGCAGTCATTTAAGCACAATTATGGCCAGTTTCTGGTGTCCCAATTTGAAAATTATCTTCCTCACATGGATTCTCTAGGAATTCAGTAGGTTCCTTTTGTATGGCTTTATCAATCTGCCTGGATCCATACTTCTTAGCACCTCTCCTAGGAGGACCAGAGTTTGTTAAGGTCAAGGTTTCATTCATTTTTCTTTGTGATAGTTGGTACAAATTCAGATACTTCCAATATGTCATTATTGATGAAAGTAGGAATGCTCTCTGGTCAATCTTTCTGCCAGAGACAGACCCTAGCGGACCTACCATGAGCTCAGCTGACCCACACTCAAAGGGGCTCATGCTCTTCTGACATCAGTGAGCTTCAGGGTCTTTACAAACTCACATCTGAAGGCAAAATAGCATCCTATAAAATAAACAAAGAGTTAAATCGAGAACCACACTTAAAGTGTCACTTATGCTTGGCCTTCCACTGTACCGTTCCCAAGAATACTTACAGAGAAATTTTCTCCAAAGAGCAGTTTGACCATTCAACTGCTTTACTGCAACATGTGACTCTTCAACTTCGGTTTGTGGCTTTGGCCCCTGGACAAAGTTATGAAGCTGCTGTCTCTGCATGAGCTACTCTCCTGTGGATGAAAACATGAAGAATTGGTTTGGGAATCCTGCTCCCATGAGCCCTGGCCTCCCTGCAGGCCCACACACATTTCCAATGTAAAAAGAGAGATTTCTGCATCTAAGCTCAGGGAAGTGAAAGAGAGTTGATCAGCTTATTGTTTCTCTTCAGATGTGTCAGAGTTATGTAAACAGATGCACTATTTGTGATAGACATAAATATCGCTCAGGACTTGGAGTATGTATTAAAGGGATCCTTTAAAAAGACAAATGTCATTAGATTTATGGAATAACTTCAACTTACATATTAGTTGCATTCTAGAGAATTGTTTTTAAAATAAGTTCTTTTTGATGATTTATCACTCACTTTTATTAAGTTTTAGAAATATATTCACACAGGAAAAACATTTCACTTAAGGAAAACAATATATGGTACCCTGAATAGCAATTTAAAGAGCACACATTTAAAGGGGTTTAATACAGGTAACAGAGGCGACAAGATTTTGGGTGGTGAGTGCACAATAAGAATATACAGATATTGTATTATAAAGCTGTACATCTGAAATTTATGTAATGTGATTAATAATGTCACCCCAATACGTGTTTTTTAGCAAAAGAAGAAATAATACATTTCATAAAGATACCAAATTTCTTGAAAAAAATAAACTATTTTGAACAAACCACTTATCAAAAATAAATTTATTTTTGTTTTACTAGTTTATTTTCAGTAGTCTTATTCAGAATAATTTGCTGTTACATAATTATTTACTAAACTGATTTGTGCAAATGCTGAAAGTTTTATGGCATAATGTATTATCCTAAGAAAAATTTTAATGGATCTATAACAAAATAATTACAAAATGTTTAAAAAGTACATACGTTTAGTTAGACTATAGTAAGTCAAGTTTACAAGTTTTTACGGTTATCACGAAAATAATAGTAAAAGCGATTACACAAAAATTGAATGAATCCGGCCCAGCCAGTGTGGCTCAGTAGTTGAGCATTGACCCATGCACCAAGAGATCCCCGGTTTGAGTCCCAGTCAGGGCACATGCCCAGGTTGTGGGCCCAATCCCCAGTGGGGAGCATGCAGCAGGCAGCCAATTGATGTTCTCTCTCATCAATGTTTCTACCTCTCCCTTCTATTCTCTCTAAAATCAACAAAGAAAAAAAAAAGGAATGAGTCTTAACTATGACAATAAGCCCGGAAGAGGGGATGTAAAATAGCTGAGTAAAAAATAAGATGGTAACTTTAGAAAAATCGCTGATTGCATTGCGTAAATAGGCCAAGTGTTCTGAGTGAAAGACAAAGACTAGCAGATGGAATATATTCATGTTGTTTACAAAAGATGCACTTTAAATATAAGCAGCCAGAATGGCTGACAACAAAAGAATAGGAAAAAGTATATAATGGAAAGACTATCCAGGGAAATAGCAGGTAGCTACACTCATCTGACTAATGCTACATGAAGGCATGAAGCATGGCTCGAGATACAGAGAGACATTTTATAATGATGAAGGATCATAAAAACGTTAGCTCTGTCAAGTCTGCACACTCTTATATGAAACATGGCTACAATGATTAATGCTAATACTGGAATGGTGATTCACCAGAGAGTGCTTCCACCTGGGCCTCAGGTGGAAACTGCAGGCAAGTGAGAGGAAGATTTCCTTCCTTCCTTCCTTCCTTCCTTCCTTCCTTCCTTCCTTCCTTCCTTCCTTCCTTCCTTCCTTCCTTCCTTCCTTTTCAAGAAAACATATTTCTTTTTTTTAAATTCAATTAATTTATTTTTGTTACAGATGTTTCTCCTTTTTCCTCCATTGATGCCTTCCTCCCGATCCTGCCAGTCCCCAGCATTGCTGTCTATGTCCACTGGTTATGAAAACATTCATACATTATTTAGTTTATCTTTTCCCTCCCTCATGGCTCTCTCCTCTGAAGTTTGTCAGTCTGAACCTTACTTCTATGTCTCTGGATCTGTTTTGTTCATCACCGTCTTTCTTTCTTTCTTTCTTTCTTTCTTTCTTTCTTTCTTCTTCTTTCTTCTTTCTTTCTTCTTTCTTTCTTTCCTTCTCCTTCCTTCCTTCCTTCCTTCCTTCCTTCCTTCCTTCCTTCCTCTTCCTTCCTTCTTCTTTCTTTCTTTCTTCTTTCTTTCTTTCTTCTTTCTTTCTTTCTTTCTTTCTTTCTTCTTTCTTTCTTTCCTTACCTGAGGACATTTTATCATCTTTTGTTCAGAAGAAGACAGAGGACGGGAGAGTGAAACATCGATGTGACAGGGATACATAGAGTGGTTGCCACCCACACAACCCAACCGGGGCCGGGGACAAACTGCAACTGAGGTACACGTCCTTAGCAGGAACCGAACCTGGGTCTCTTTGAACAGCAGACCAATGCTCTAACCGCTGAGCCATACCGGCCAGGGCCGCACTTATTTTTAATCCATTTATCTTCAGATACAGTGGGAGAGAGGGAGAGATGGGGGGTGAAGAGAGAGAGAGAGAAGGAGAGAGAGAGAGAAAGAGAGAGAGAGAAATGTCGATGTGAGAGACACATCGACTGGCTGCCTCCTGCATGACCCTGACCAGGGCTGGGCATGAACCACAACTGAGGTACATACCCTTGACCAGAATCGAACC